TATAAAATTGTGAAAATGCTAAATTTTTTAGGGATCCCAAAATTTATTCTTTGGCATTGACACTCAAAATTGTAGACGTTGAAGTTAAATATGTGTACATTGGCTCAAGGTGAGCGGGTAGATTGAGCGCTCACTAAACATGTTTAACTTCGCCTTACTAGTATTTTGCGACCGTCCTAAGTCCAGAACCTTAAGCATTTGTTATTCTTGTATGTTTTATACTTTTGGTTCATCTCTGTGTTTCGAAGTGTAGAGTGGCGTCTATTTTCCTGATTTAGTATAGAGGAGGGTTGTGATCTCGCTAACATGTTTAACCCCGCCACATTATGTATGTATGTGCCTGTCCCAAGTCAGGAGCCTGTAATTCAGTGGTTGTCGTTTGTTGCTATGTTACATATTTGTTTTTCGTTCATTTTTTGGTACATTAATTAGGCCGTTAGTTTTCTCGTTTGAATTGTTTTACAATTGTCATTTCGGGGCCTTTTTTAGCTGACTATGCGGTATGGGCTTTGCTCATTGTTGAAGGCCGTACGGTGACCTATATAGATGTTAATTTTTGTGTCATTTGGTCTCTTGTGAAGAGTTGTGTCATACCAATCACACCACATCTCTTTTTTATATAAGTGTTTCAGGGCCTTCTCAAGCCAGCATCTGGGTGCGGGATTTCTCGCTTTATTGAAGACCCACTGGTGGCCTTAGGTTGTTTTGTAAATTTTTGTCGGGTTGTAATCTTTTTGACGATTTCATCGTTTCCACTTTTTATTCTTTTTGCCATCATCTTTTATATCTTTGCTCTATAAGTGAAACAATATTCATGGGAAATTACACTTTTATCCATTCCCGAAAACTGGATGCTCGTTTGGTGACAATTTTATGTTTAGTTTACTGTCCCGCTACATTTTCACTCATATTTAATAGATAATACTTGTAAATGTATGGCATGACCATTCGGTATGGAGGCGGGCTAGTGGCTAAAGGATTTCGGGAGAAAAAAAATTAAGTTGATTTGCAAAAGACAAATTGAAAATAAAAATTCTTCTGCTTTTCAAAATGCAAAACAGTTCTAAAAGTAGTTGTGTACAAGAAAGAACTTTAATGTCCATGCTACAAAAAATAACAGTTTTAGCAAAAAGGTTCAAATTGAAAATTCCAACCGCAATACCACCCAACCCCATCCCCTTTTTTACAACGACTAGATCCCATGTTCACCACCTGGTAACAATTAATTTTATGAAACACGTGACTGTGTGATTTATTTGGTATTAGAAGAAAGGAAATCAAATATAAAAATAAAAAAGAGAGTATTCAACATACCTGTATAGCTGTTTTTTGCATTAACAATTCTTTTATCATGTTTTCGCCGCAGCGGGGAAATTCCTGAACTATCTCCTGTATTAAGGAATCTCAATCTTCATCCGAAATGTTTGAGACGTTCTTTTTAGTTAAATAACATTGCCGCATTCTCCTATAAACTGTACTTTCAGAAGCTGATAGGAGCTTTGCTATATCAGTAACAGTAAATTGGCATTCAAGAAAAAAGTGTAGAATATCCTCTGGTATCTGAAATATTGGACTTCCAGGTGCTCGGCACAAAGTAGAAGATCCATAATTTAAACACTTTAACCGTAAATTCATTATTTTAGAGCTATCGATTAAGCCTAAACTTTGCAATTCAAATTTGGACAATTTTCCGACAATATCTGGTGTTATTTTTTCATCTTTAAAACGCGATACCAACGTGCCTAGGTTTAACTCTTTCAAAATCTCATCCATTTTTCATACGACATAGATACAGAACTGCTTTTTTCGTAGAAGCAGATCGGAATCAGTTCTGACGTAGTGAGTAATCGCTTTAATCGTAATCATGTTCATTGACCATCAGGACGATGAATGCACATCATCATAATGATGTTTCGACATCATCATAATGATGTTCTGACATCATATAAAGATGTAAACCGAACCACACCATATGATGTTACATTGTCATAATATAATGACCTTACCACATCATATAACGATGTTAGCACATAACATAAGGATAAGTTCACATCATATAAAGAAGTTTGCACATAATATAAAGACATCTGTACATGATATAAGATAATTTGCACATCATATAATATAATTTGCACATCAGATAAGGTCAAATTGTCATCATATAAAGGTGATTGCATATCGTATAAAGGTGATTGCATATCGTATAAAGGTGATTGCACATCACATAATGCCGTTTCTACATCGTATAAGGAAAGCATCACATAATATAAGGACTCAATCACATAACATAATGGAGAAAGCACATCATATAATGAATTGTGGACATGATATAAAGATGTTTGCACCTCATATAAACGTGTTTGAACAGCATATAAGGACAACTTCACATCATATAATGACAAGTGTACATCATATAAGGACAAGTTCACATCACATAATGATAAGTGTACATCATATAAGGACAAGTGCACATCATATAATGTCATTTGCACATCATATAAGGGTAAAATGACATCAAATAATGGCAAATGAACATCATATAATGAGAAATGTCATAATAAGACAGTGTCGGCGTTCCATATACATCCATGGAAATGAGATGTGCCAATGCTAATACAACTGCATACCAAATACCATTGACCTATTATAAGTCGTTCCCTTTAAACAAACCTAAACACAAACATTAACTTGTAAACTATCGTGTAAAAGTTTCAAAGTCAATGAACCATGAAGAGGGGTGGGACTATATAATCACCATGGAAACGACACTTGCAAATGCCAATAAATTTGCACACCAAATATCATTGACTTAACATTAGCAGTTCATCTTAAACTGATCTAATCACAAACTAATACATGTAAACTAAGCAAAAGTTTCAAAGTCAATAGACCATGACTAAGGGGGCGGAGCCAAATAATCTCCATGGAAATGAGATATGCCAATGCTTATACAACTGCATACCAAATATGATTGACCTACTACTTGTGGTTCACCATAAACTATAGACCTAATTGCAAACTAAAGATTGTTGACCCCGCCGACGCCGGAAACAGCATACCTTTGTCTCGCTTTTTTACTCCGTCAAGGCGAGACAAAAATGGATTTTAAAACTATATGAATTAAAATTATATAAAGAAACAGAAAGGTTAGTGGGCAAAATTTGTATTGGCATTACATTGATTAAACAAAGGATTCCGAATATCAAACAGAAAGTCAAAAACAAGAGTAGCGAACATCCTTAAGTCATATTTAGGCATTTGCAGATACATGTATGTTAATCATATTTTAATTATTCAGTGAAAAAATCACCCCAAGTTTTGATGAGGTTCGTGTTGCTCAGTCTTTAGTTCTCTCTGTTGTGTTTTATGTACTGTTGTTTGTCTGTTTGTCTTTTTCTTTTTTTGGCCATGACGTTGTCTGTTTATTTTAGACTAATGATTTTGAATGTTCCTTTGGCCTTTGGTATCTTTCGCCTCTTTTTTTTTAACTACATGTACCAATTGTGTCAAGATACATTATTTTTACACCTAAGACAGGAAACACAGATTTTTTAAGTTAAATAACTCTAACCTTTAGGCGAACAATTTTCAAGGAATCAGAATTAACCCCTTAGTCGTGAATGAAATAGCTGCCTTTTCATCAAGAGAGAAAGAGAAAGAGGGAGAGAGAGAGCTTACAAAGACACTTTCATCGTTTGTTAGCCATGAACAATTAATCTTAGTCGTAAGATTTTTTGTGAAACTGACTCTTGGTTATAGTTTTTGTATCATCCGCCTCACTAGTTAATGTATTGCTTATTTAAGGTAGATTAACTGTATACCGCCATCTTGGATTGTAAAATAGTCTAGTTCTTTGCTTAATTCTGCAAATTTTGAGACATATTGGCAATTATTACATTGGTAGCAATGAGTTACATTGATTTCCCAGTCAAATAAAAACCGATAATTTCACATGTGAAATAAACGTGGTTATTTCACTCTCTGACGTCATACAACAATAGGCGTTGTCAAGACGTCGATAACGTCGGATCAAAACAAATTGTGAATGCGTAGAAAAAAGATATAGTTCCTTACATTTTCTACATTAATTTCATTAAAAAAAGCCATTTGCCAATGTAATAAAAAGAATAACTAATCAAAGAATTCAAATATCGAAAAATATTCAACTCGTGACAGAACAACACTGATAATTAACTCATGCGCTACGCGCATTCGTGAATTAATGTGTTGTTCGGTCACTCGTTGAATATTTTTCTCTATTTGAATTCTTCGATTAGTTATTATATAATTAATGGGTTACACTGTTTATTGGAATAAAGAATAATAAGTGATTTATTGCATTAATCAAACTGATTTATCAAATACCAAATATTTGTGTTTGTTCGAATCAAATTATCAACTTAGCCTTTTAAGGGTGTATAACTCAAAAAGTAATTGTTTTCATACAGTTTTTAATGTTTACTAGTAGCAAGAAAACAAGGTCGGTGACACCTTTTTTCTTTTCATTTCCTTAAAGCATATTTTTAAACCTATCTTATTTTATCTCATAGATTTCTTTTTATTCACAAAAATGTTTTTTCATGAACAATCTATGCAAATTTTGGCAATTTTGCACGACTAGTAGCTTGAAAAATAGCATAGTGACACATACTTTTAATTATATTTTTGAAAAATAGCATGGAAAAATCTACAGTCTAGCAAAGTATAAGAAAATTCTATCTGAAGAAATATATACCAATGATTATCAGAATTGCAATGGTTGCTAAGAAAGCAACTTGTTTGTATTGTCGGGTTGTTTCCTTATTGACGTATATCCTGGTTCTCCAAATAGAAATACAGTTTGATTTGGATTAAGCATTACAACATTCGGTTATATATTGCTTTTCAAAACGTATAACTTTGCACACCAACTTTTCTTTTCTGAACAATTTAGTCACGACGAATTGTATATTTATAGATATAGCAGGGCAGTTCAACGACTTTTTATTTTTTCTTCATAGAACCGCTTCCACGTAAAACGTGTACAAAAGAAGTGTCATTCAGGAAACAGACAGGTCAAAGTTCAACCTATTCATCGCGCTACCCTTCACGTTATGGTGTTGACCACAGTCACTTTACAATGTTTCATACGAAATTTGAACAGGATCCATATTGGTGGGTATTCCTCGGAAGCCCCTACTCAGTTCGTCGTGTCGAAATGTGGAATACGAGAAGATTAGGTAAGTAAATTAATCCCTGATGTTTGCAAAAATGTACACAATTGGGAATAAAAATACTGGAAATGAAAGTACCCATATCTATTAAAATAATATTCAATGGTCATGTTATCTTAATATCAATCTGATTAAAATTCAGATCTATCGTAACTCGCTTACGAGCATAACGAAATCAGAGATATTTTAATTGGATTGTCTGAATATCGAATTGATGATGACTGGCTGATTTGTTCCATGCACTTTGCAAATGATAGCGGATTGTTGAACAAGGTTATACATGTAATATGGACCTGGGCTCTCGGTCATAAAACTTTAGTCAGTACTCGGAGTACAAAATTTGTGCTCGAAACACCCAAACTGATTTTGATTGGTTGATTTCTGAGTCTGAGTACGAAAATCGTGCTCGAAAGTTTTATGATCGCAAGGCCAGAACTTTCTTTTATGAAGAAAAAACTGTTTGGAAGTATTTAAAGAAGTTTTTGAGACAAGGGGTTAGATGAAGTATTAAAACAAACGATGATGGCAAATCGTCTTTATGCATACATGATAAAAAAGGGTGTTTTTACTAAAATACGAAACGAAATCGAAACGAAACGAAATATATGACGTTTGATAAATTTACTTAAAAAAATTCTAAAACGTAAATGGAAGGGTAACCAACATTCTCCAAGAAGGTAATGAATCGCTGACAAACTGTATACGACATTCTCCAAGAAGGTAATGAATCGCGGACAAACTGTATGCGACATTCTCCAAGAAGGTAATGAATCAGTCGCGGACAAACTGTTTACAACATTCTCCAAGAAGGTAATGAATCGCGGACAAACTGTATACGACATTCTTAAAGAAGGTAATGAATCGCGGACAAACTGTATACGACATTCTCCAAGAAGGTAATGAATCAGTCGCGGACAAACTGTTTACAACATTCTCCAAGAAGGTAATGAATCACGGACAATCGGTGTACGACATTCTCCTAGAATGTAATGAATCAGTCGCGGACAAACTGTTTACAACATTCTCCAATAAGGTAATGAATCGCGGACAAACTGTATACGACATTCTCCAAGAAGGTAATGAATCGCGGACAAACTGTATACAGCATTCTCCAAGAAGGTAATGAATCGCGGACAAACTGTTTACGACATTCTCCAAGAAGGTAAGAAATCGCGGAAAAACTGTATACGACATTCTCTAAGAAGATAATGAATCGCGGACAAACTGTATACGATATTCTTCAAGAAGGTAATGAATCGCAGACAAACTGTATAAGACATTCTCCAAGAAGATAATGAATCGCGGACAAACTGTATACGACATTCTCCAAGAAGGTAATGAATCGCGGACAACTGTATACGGCATTCTCCAAGAAAGTAATGAATCGCGGACAAACTGTATACGACATTCTCCAAGAAGGCAATGAATCGCTGACAAACTGTATATATGACATTCTCCAAGAAGGCAATGAATCGCTGACAAACTGTATACGACATTCTCCAAGAAGGTAATGAATCTCGGACAAACTGTATACGACATATTTTCCAAGAAGGTTATGAATCGCGGACAATATAAAAATCCCAGGACATACACACTAAAGAACAAAACTCTTTATCTAAATATTTCTTTCTCTTGCATGAAAAAGCACAATCGTAAGAATAAATCGCAGATATTTAGTTAATTATATAATTTATGGAATGAAAGAATAATTCAATTCAATTTAAATGTTTATTGCCATATAAACTTTAAACAATAAGTTTGTGACAAATATAAAATAAGTATACAATATAACTGAAATTCACATATATATACACAATAATTTGATAACATAAAATAGTCCAGAGTCCCCTGTCCTCAGGTCTAATGACTGTGATGGTGTTGATGGATTGAGTATAAAAATCACCATTTTTTCATCAGACAAATCTTTAACAGAAAAATGTATTTCCAAATTATCAAAAGAGTTGTTTCTCAGTTACCTATTTATTTAACAATCTAATAAAAAATGTTTTTCATCTTCTAATATGTTACCTTAAATGGATAATCTCTGTTCTCTGTGAATATTAGAATGTCTTCTTTTTTTCTATATTTAAATTATGGAAACTAATTCTTAGTTTTGGTTTTAATTTTCTATATGTAAAGTTTGGTTTTCTTAAATAATCTTCAAAATATAAATTTGGTTTAAGGTTTTTATATAAATAAAGTTTACTTTTTTCATTATTTTTTTGCATCTTATTATGAATCAAATTTTCAAAGTAGTTGTTCTTACCTAAAAATAAATACATGTATTTCATTTAAGGTAGATCATAGGTATATATTTCCTCAGATAGAATTTTTTTATACTTTGCCAAAATAAAGATTTTTCTATGCTTTTTCAAAAAAAATAATAAAAAGTATGGGTCACCGTGCTATTTTTCAAGCTACGGGTCGTACGAAATTGCACAAATTTGCTTGGATTGTTCATGAAAAAACACATTTTTGTGCATAAAAAGAAATCTATGAGATAGAATTTTGAAATAAAATATGAGAAGATAGGTTTTATAATATGCTTAAAGAAAATAAAAAGAAAAAATGGTGTCACCGAACTTGTTTTCTTGCTACAAGTAAAAAAATAAAATTTCCCTATCAGTCCAGTATAAATTTTTTACTAAAAGAGTTATCTCCCCTTAAATGGCCAAGTTGAAAAAATGATTATAAAAACACAATTATTTGGTATTTATTTAAACATTTTGAATAATGCAATCAATCACCAAGTTTTCTTGCATTAAATAAACAGTCTAACCTATAAATTGTCTATATGTCTCCAAATTTGCAGATTTGGGCATAGATCTAGACCTTTTGTGTACTGCGATTGTACAATCCAAGATGGCGGTATACCATGAATCTACCTTAAAGGTTATATAAAAACAAGCTCTAAAAACTACTTTGAAAATTTATATAACCTTTAAATGAAATGCATGTATTTATTTTTAGGTATGAACTAGTATCTTGTTGTATTTGTGCCTTATATCTAAATTAAGTTCACAAAGAATAATTTTTACATAGGTAAATCAGGAGTTTACTCCTTTTGTGTCTACGTCTTTGCTAAGCATGTAAGCTTCTTTCAAAAAAAGATTTATCTTACAACATTCAAATCTCTTTAAATATAATAATGTTTGTGTTTTAATATATAATTCTATAGGAAGTCTCCCCAATTCAGCTCTAGTTGCAAGATTAGAATCATTCTTTTTATTTCCAAGTAAAAAATTACAAAATTCACAATGTATTTTTCAGTGGGACTTGTTCCATCAAAACTTAAAATGTCTACTTCTTTTCCAGAATTTAAAGCTCTATTTTTTGCTCTAAAAACATATATATATGTGTGTGTGTGTGTTTAAATAGTTCACTTCAGAGTTGTATTTCATAATTGGTTTTATGAGGGAATCAAAGAGGTGGCATGCCACTTTGACTGGTAAATTATTCAAAGACTGTATAACTTTTCAAACGTAATAAAGCTTTTTTGGCCTTTTTTTACTAGTTCTTTAGTTCTCTATGAGACAGGTTGCCATTACATTTAAGCCTAAAAATGAATATTCTGATACATTATCAATGTTAGAATTTTTAAAACATACAGCTATGGTGGTTCTAGTTTAGATCATCCTTATATATATCATGGATTTTGTCTATTTAATATTTGATTAAGGTCTTTCCTTCTCCAAAAGGGAAAGACCTTACTGTATTTCTTCTTCTTCTTCTGATTATTATTATTATTATTAGGTCTTTCCACTTTTCTGTGTCACTTTTAAAGATACCAATTAAAGAACAAGTGCAAAATATTTGCCTAATTGTGATGAAGATATGATACATTCTGTCTGAAACAATCCAATGACATCTTATAGGAGTTATTGTCCCTGAAATGATTCAATTTAAGGTTAATTGATTATTACTCCAACTTGTTACATGATAAAGCCATAGGGTCTTTTGCAAACTGTTGGTTGACCTATGACCTTGAAAAATGTCAACCGGAAGTGACCTTGAGTGAACCGGAAGTAGTATTTTTTGCACTTATTTCATGGAAAAGTACCTAGAAACCATATATTTTTTGAATGACCATATGTTAACCTATCTTTTGAGACCGAAAGTAACATTCTATAACCCGGAAGTGGCATATTATCTTCCTTATTACAGGCATAAGTATATACAAACTATATATTTTTGGAATCAGTGTGAATAAAGCTATCATATGAGACCGGAAGTGACATTTTCTAAACCGGAAGTAGCTAATTATCTCCCTTTTTACATGCAAAAGTATATATAAACCATATATTTTTGGAATCAGTATAAATAAAGCTATCATATGAGACCGGAAGTGACATTTTCTAAACCGGAAGTTGGCAATTATCTCCCTTATTTCAGGCAAAAGTATATAGAAACCATATATTAATTGAATCAGTATGAAGAAACCAAGGCTTGGACGCCAATAGTAATTTTGAGTAAACTGGATGAAGCTTCTCATCAATAATTTAGAACATTGACGTGGAAAGACCTTCAATTGTTCCCTGAACAATTGGTTTTTAATTTTTTTTTTTTTTTTCTTCCGCCTTATTTTGTTCTTGCGATAAATATTTGTTTCACAATATGTCGCTTAGATATTTGGTATATGATATCGAACAGTTCATACCCTTTGAAATTTACCCTGCGAAACCAAATAATTTTCTTTGTAGGAGTTAACTCCCCGAACACTGTTTTCCTTGTGCACGCATCTCCTCCGTAACAGTAAAAGAAAGCGACAAATTTATTTTACCAAATTGCTCGTTATATCCTCAGGATGTTTTGTCCAATTTTGACCGAAGCGATACGTAAACTCTATATGAGAGTTATTTCCCCTTCTGTATTTGACATAAGGGATATATAAATGTATAGCATGAATGGTAAGTGATACAGACCTAAGGTATATTGATTTGAGTTCCTTGGTTCATTTAAATGAAATTGAGGCCGAGGTCAAAGGTCAAGGTCATATTCTAAATTTT